ATGTACCTCATTCTTTTTAATGACTGAATTGTATTCCATATATTTACTTGCTATATATTATTGAACCAATCATGGATCCTGATGTCATTTAAAATACCTTTTCATATTTTCATTTACATGTTTATGTAAGTATGTCTATGGGACATTCTGCATGCTGATTTTTTTTTTTTTTAAAGACTTCTTTAATTCTGTTATAACCTTGTTTGGAAATCTTCAGTGATTCTTGATTATCTCTGGTGTAAAGTCTAGACTATTGCTACTAGAAACATAACATGAGACACGAAGTGATATTAAAGTTTTTAGTATATATGTTATAAGAAGTAAAAATAAACAGGTGAAAATATTTTAAATAACATTTTACCCAACCAAATATATGTCAAATATTATAATTCCATTGTGTAATCAATATTAAAACAATTTAAAAGGTGTTTTACATTTTTTTGATACTAAATCTTTGAAATTTTTGTATTTTACAGTTAAAGCACATCTCAGTTTGGACTGCCCACATTTCAAGTGCTCAGATAGGTACATATGGCCAGCGGCCACTGATTGGACAGCATGGGTCTAGACTCCTTAGCCTAGTACTTAAGGCACATTACAAATAAGCTGCAGTTAATCAAATATAGCCAACCTCCTTTAGCTCTTGACACCCCCACTTCCTACAAAACTAAAGTTTTCTCCTTATTTCTACAGCACCTCCTTCTTGTTTTTTCCTGAATCCTGCCATCCTATGGGCAATGTTTCTCAACCTTGGCACCCATTTACATTTGGGTCCACATATCTAAGTTGTGGATGACTGTCCTGTGCATTGTAGGGTGTTTAGCAGCATCCCTGGCCTCCCACCTTCACCCCCACCCCGCTTGCCTCCTCCCCGCCGTCTGTGACAGCCCAAAACTGTGTCCAGACTGAGAACCAATGCTTTAGGGTCAGTCTCTAAACTCTACTTACCTACTAAGATTTTCTTCCCAGACGAATGGATAAGCCTATTATGACCTACCCTCCTTCCTCATCCAACCAGTATGATAACTATATGTTATAGGGAAAAAGCATTCTGTGGTCAAAAAAGTTTGAGAAATACTAGATTAAAGAAAATTTTAGGGTTTTTTTCTTTTGTTTGTTTTTTTTACTATGGGACTTGATCATAAAGTTTAACATGCTGATGTACTTTATGCATCTTCAAGAGAAGTTTTCCTGTCTAGCAAATTCCAAACTTATTGATCATTCTAATAGAAATTTATCATTTTTGCCCTACGGCATCCAACATCTAGCTCTTATTGTTGGGCAATCCCCTAGTATGTAGACTAGGTTGGAGACATGGCAGAGGAAGGACATCTTCCCTCTCTTCACTGACCCCCATAGTCATGCATAGCATGTGATCCCAGTTCATGCTTTCATAGGGAGTTTGAGGCTCTGAGTAAGTTAAGGAAGATGGCAGTAGTGGTGCCAGGAGGCAGCTGCCGTGGCATGACCAGGCTGTTGCTTTTAGATGCTGGCGTTGTTCTTCTAGCTCTAGCTTTTGACTTTCTGTTGTTGTCTTAGGCTCCTCTTTGTTTTCTGAACTTGGACTTCCACTTCTTAATTTTCTGGATCCTTAATAGCCTTCCCTTTTTTGTTCCAATCACCAAAGTCAGTTTTCTAACTGATAAAACCTGTGGAGCCAGTTGGAAAATGTTGCTTGAAAGCATCGATTTTAATTCGTGTGTTGGATTTTGTTTTATATTTTTCAGCTCTTTACAGAGAAAATGGCTTTCCTTTCCAATTTCCTCCCTAAGGTTTTTCAGGATAGGAGCAAGATGCCATTGCATTTCTCACATCATTTAGCATAATACCTACACTCTAGAAATGCTAAATAGAGAGGTTGTATGATTTGCATGTGGTGCACAGATGTAACCCTTTCCAAGGCTAAATGTGAAAGACTAGATGTGACCAGGTGATATTTCACTAGTTTCAATGTCTGATGTAAGAAATGAATTTGCCGTGATGGAAGGGGCATAGACATTTATTGAGCGACTGTTTCTGTGCTAGGCCCTTGAACATATGGAAGGGTGTGGCTAATTCCTAGGAGGTTGTAAATTAGAATTAAAAATGAACAATGCAGAAATAATAAACAATTAGGTGAATATAATAAGAGTTTTCAGTAACATACTCTGGTATTAAAATATATAAGTGCTAGCCGGGTGTGGTGGCTCATTCCTGTAATATGTCCTTTTTGGAAGGCTAAGACAGAAGGATTATTTGAGCCCAGGAGTTCAAGACCAGCCTGGGTAGCATGGTAAGACCGTGTCTCTACAAAAAAAATCAAAAAGTTATAGCCAGGTGTGATGGTGTGTGCCTGTAGTCCCAGCTACTTGGGAGGCTGAGGGGTAAGGATTGCCTGAGCCCAGGAGGTCAAAACTGCAGTGAAACATGATCGTTCCACTGCAGTCCAACCTGGATGACAGAACCCCAACTCAAATATACAAACGAATAAAATATATAAGTGCATATCAGGAAATTACTAGAGGCCACACTAGGGAACAAATTTGGGTGGTCCAGTTAGATATAAAAACCCAGAAAAAAGTAAGAGACAATGTAGAAAATTTAATCTCTTTTATTTTCTCCTTTTTATTTTTTTGGTGGGGAGAATCTTTAATTAAGTATCATGATTGATTTTTGTCCATTAGGAAAAAAGTTAAAATCAAAATGCAAAGTATACCCTTTTTTTGTAGGGTTATCATTTGGCATTACATATTTTAAGGATATTGTGGAAAAAATACAAGAACATCTGTAGAAATACAAATAGAAGTGAAAGACTAGAAAGCAGATTTGCATGGAAAATGATTGTCTCCTGAGACTTGATCTGGAAAAAATAATAATAAATTGTAAGAAGAGTATTTGAGAACGAATTTATAATCAACACAAGAGCCTCAAAGCTACAAAAATGACTTACTAAGAGAAACAGTAGAATTGTCTTTATTGAAGAGTTTTAAGAAAAGAGTATTACTGCCTTCCAATTATGGCTTCATGTCTGTTCCCCCCAAAGGCATGTGTACTTGAAACCCTTCCTGGCCCCATAAGAAGAAGATTCTGTGGTCCTGATGAGATTGTGTGCGTTAGAATCACTTCTCCTAGAAAGGAGATGCTAAAGGGTACTTGAATAAAATATTAAAAATTATGAAGGACATAACAAAGGCCAATCAGTCCTCTCTTTTCCCCAGACCCCATAATATGAGAACATGGGTTATTTGATGAAATTAAAGAGTAGCAAATTAAGTGTTAATAAAATGAGATAGTCATTTATATAATTCATTGTCATGGGAGGTCACAGAGGCAAATTTTGTGGCTAGATTAAATATGGGGCTGGATAATTTTATGACCTCTAATGATATTTTTAGCATTTGAGGCTGATATTGTGAGAGAGGTAATCCTGTTACACTCTTCCATAGATGGTTTGCAGGGATCTCTGGCAAGTGGTGTCTGAGAAGTATGAGAACAAACTCTATGGGTTCTAACCTTTGGTGGGAATTGTATACAATTTTTTTTTTTTTTTAGAGACGAGGTCTTACTATGTTACCCAGGCTGGTCTTGAACACCTGGTCTCAAGTGATTGTTTGGCCTTGGCTTCCCAAAGTGTTGGGATTATAGGCATGAGCTACTGCGCCCAGTCCAAAGTTGGTTTTTAAGGTGAATGTACCCAAGCAAATCATTCATGCTTCAGTCTCACTTTCTCATGTGGCGATCCAAACATCTTTTATTATCTGAAGCAGTTGAGAAAGATATTGCCCATAATTAGATCATTTCTGGTCTTTAGGACACACTTAACTTACTTATTGCATGCCACCCACATGTCAGGTACTTTGCTTGGAGTTTTAAAAAAATCTGTTGGAGATATAAACATTTAGACACATCAGTTCCATTCTGAGTGAAAGGAACTGTACTAAAGGTAGTCTGGAAAGCTGCATGGAAACACAAAAAAGCAAAAGAATGTCTCAACCTGTGAGGTTCAGGGAAGGCTCACAGAGGAGGTAACATTTGAACTGAGCTCATGGGACAAGCAGAAGTTCACTCTATATCAAGGATAAAGAAGGGCATTCCAGGCAGAAGGAACAAACAGAATGCACAGGTCCAGAGACAGAAGATAATATCATGTGTCAATTTAGGAAGGCTGTACCAGAGTAAGAGCAACAGCAAGGGAGGAGATGGGGCATGAGAAGTACCAGGGAGCCAGATGGTGAGAAAATTCATGGGTTTGCCTGAGATCTCTCTCTAGCAGCAGTGCTAGTACTTCCAATGGTGGCAGTATAGGCAGGTGGGGAGTTAGAGAAGAGAAAGAGAAGGACTTTGAGGGTGTCATATTGCAGATAAAGGACAGCTGCTCAAAACTTTGCTCTACTGAGTAGTAGGCATCCCTATTCTTGACCACTGTCAATAGTTACTTGGTGGCAAGCCTTGTAATTTACACAACTCTTTGCTTCACTTGTTTTTACTATCTGCCTGAAACAAGATTTACCATGAACCTAATCATCATCATCAGTCATAAAAAAAAAAAATAACCCAAAAAACAAACAAAAAAACCCCTGCCCTATGTTTGGTTAGAGGGAGAATCTTACAGGTCTTAGATAAATGAGTCTAGTGTGTCTGTCTGGTCTTGTGCCCTTGGGCTCTATTAGTACAAAATCAGTCCTTGCAAGGGAGAGAGGCTGCTTGACCCCAGGCTCACATTTTCTCTGTGGAGTTGGCTCAGCAAACAAGCAAGAAAACATACAATGTCTTTGAAAAGTAGGAGCAGATGGATTGAAATGTTAAAAATCTGTTTTATTAAATGATTTCAGCTAACAAAATAATTTAATTAGGAAAAAAAGCACCCAAACTCTGTTCTTTCTTCAGTGATATTTAAATAAGAATATCTATTAATTATTCAGATTCCAACTTAGAATTTCTACACCTTTAATATTGATACTTTTAGGAAGAAGGATCAAATGAAAATAGAGGGAAAGAATAAAAGAATTTCGGCGCCAGTAATGACTCCACACCCGGCCAAGACCAAGAGATTTACAGAGAGGATCTGTAACGGAGGAAAAAAAGAAAAAGAGAGAGAGATTTGCGGGGAGAGGGCTGTATTTATAAGCCTGACAGGGGCTGGAAGGGGCCGTGCTATGTTCCTATTGGAGGAGCTGCATGGGAGTAGGGTGGGGCCGATGCCATGTTATAGTCCTATTGGACGCATTACAAAGCTGGCTAAGGATTGGAGGCTTGCAGGTTTGAAATTCGGGCGCTGGGGAATTGTGCACACAGAAGCCGGAACCTAGGGCCTCACGTTGCTCGGCGCCATTTTGGAGCCGCCCCTCTGGTCGCTTCCTGCACCCTTCAAAGAATCTTTTGTAAACATTGGTTTTCTTGGTAGTCTTATCTTTGTGGTAGATGCAAATACATTATATTATTCTTTCTATTATTACATGATTCTATATACAGTCAGCAGTTTTCCCCATTACAGTATGAAGATTGTATGATCAGAACATAACTCCTAATGGGTTACCTTTTCCACAGTAGTTTTTCATGGTTTTTTAAAGAAGATGATTCTTCAAAAACATGGAATTGCTGGAGGGATGGAGAAATGAGGTTAGTTGTAGAAGGTGAATTTGTACTTGTCCAATTTACTGAGAGGCCACCAATGTTATAGGATATCAGTGGGTAAAGTTAAAATAGGTTTATACAAACAGTTTTGTGTTAAATACCCAAAGATGAATAAGATCATATTTCACAATATAGTAATAGTAAGAACAATGGACGATTTCACTACAACTCCTTGATAAACTAAATACAAATTCTGTGGGAGAGCTATATCCAATGTTAGTTCTGTCCGGGGAGCTGGCAGTTTTTTCACAAAAGCTAACATACAGGTTGGGTCTTAAGGTAGAAATTACAGTTAGCCAGGAGAGAAAGGAGAGTGGATCAAGGAGGGAGAGAACATTTCAGAACTGAAGCAACAGAGATATCTCCTGCAATTTTGAATGGCTTGTTTTTTATTTTTCTTCTAATTTCTGTTATACCAATGTTGTTATTTCTAATACATTTTGAAAAATTCTCCATTGAATAAAGAAGGGACTATATCCTATGAGCTTCTAGTAGATATTAATCTTGTCAGTAAGGGGGTAGTGATCAAGAATTCCTTAAAGCCCCAACATTAATTCACTTAAGTATTTATTAATCATTTGCTTTCCTGGTCTAGACACTCACAAATAAGTCTTTGCTGTCAGCTGTGAGGTACGTGGCATGGTAACAAACATTTCCCCCATTGTTAGACGTGTCTGTGTAATGAATTAATACAGGTTCTTCTAATTCCAGATGTACTTGATTTTACATGAAGTGTGCATTTCTTCAACAAGGTTATTTGTAGTTGTGCAAAAAAGAAACAAAAGCTTTAAAAGAGCATTGATGTCAAATGATAAATGTATCTTTTCAAGGTGCAGGTAAAAATAGGTGACTATATTTCATAAAACTTTAAGTTTCAAAAATGTTTTTCTTTCCCCTTTAGACCTTAGCTGGATCTCCAAAATACAAGTGAATCATCCAGCAGTTCTGAGGCGTGCAGAACAAATCCAGGCTCGTAGAACTGTGAAGAAAGAGTGGCAGGTGAGGGTTCTTCTTGAGCATTCTGTCCCTGTAGTTTACAATGCATGGGCTCTTCCCTCAAGGCCACAATATTGAATTTCGCTCAAGATGCATCTAAACTTAAAAGATTGCAACTGTCCATGACTTATTTTAATAATTCATATATGATGATGATGGGTTGGAGAAAGATAACACATTTATCCAAACAAGTTAAAAATCTTATCACTCTTGAGTGGCAAAACCGCAAATGAATTTGAGGCATCTTTATTCATGAGTGAATTAAATGGCATATTTTTCTCAACACATTTATTCAGTTTCTTAGACATGCCTTCTCTGGTTGTCTTCTATTTTAATTTTAAAACCCTAACATCTAAACCTGGTGTGTCCACTGTTGAGGCCCTTAGGTCTAAGAGTTGACCTTTTTTGACCATCGTGTTTACCTTATTATTACTTTTCATAAATCATTTTTCCAAATTCCAAAAGTGATGTTTTGTAGAGTACTTGTGGTCAGCATATTCTCAGTGTATCCCAACCAAAGACGTGCTATGCAGGACTAAAAGGAATTCAGAGTTCATTTCACAAGTGAAGCAGAAAATTGTGATTGAATCCGTTAGAGCGACGTTTCACATTGTGCTCATCCTTGGAAGTATTCTGATTGAAAAAATAAAAGGAAATTCATCAGAATGAGTTGTGAAGTATGAATATTGTCTTAAAAATAGAATTGGATTAAACTAAACAAAAAAATAACACCAGAGAACTTGGAGACTTTAAAATATAATATTTCATTCCAGATCCCAGTGTGGGAGGTAAAATGTAAGATAGAAACCTTCCCTAGTTCTCCATATCAGGGTATCCCTGATGAACTCCTCTTTGGATGAGTTGAGGAGGTCAGAAGTGGGGAGATACTCTCTAATAGAGGTTTCTATTTGAGGTATATGTGGGAGAAAAAATGTTTAAGGCTGTTCTCCTCCCCTTTTATTTTATTCTGATTGATGTTAATCTTGTGACTCGTGAGCTATGTAAATGTCATATATCAGAATACACCTCAGAACAGTGTAGACATAAGATATCATCACCCAATTTGTATAATGATTTTTCTACTAACTAACTGGGGGGAGTTGGATGTTAATTTTTTTTTTAAGTTACTTTGTGTTTACTTTTCTTCAAACCAGGCTGCTTGGCTCCTGAAAGCTGTTACCTTTATAGATCTTACTACACTTTCAGGTGATGATACATCTTCCAACATTCAAAGGCTCTGTTATAAAGCTAAATATCCAATCCGGGACGATCTCTTAAAAGCTTTAAATATGCACGATAAAGGTACTGTTGTTTTGTGTAATCTATCTGTTTACAACACTGATTACTAGATCTAAGAGGACTTAAGTTTCAGCTATTAATGTGATAGTGATAAAATCTGTGATGGAAACTCTTGTAGACATAGATAGATAATTGAATTTTTTTTTTCCTGAAAAAACAAGAGGGAGAGAATCTGAGTCTTGTTTTTAGGTCAGTTCTTTCCATTCTTGGTTAAAGTTGCTGGTAGAGAGTGCCTTTATATTACTTTTCAGTTCTTCAGTTTTAGAAATTTTCTGTCTAGTGACTCTAAAATACTGATTCTGATTCCCTAGCCACATGTGAAAAAACCAGACTCATTACTTAATAATCACATCTCATACATAAAGTATTTTCTGTGAGTAAATGAAATACTTTTGAAAGTGAAATGCAAATGGGGAATATTGCATGCTTGTATATTAGGTTAGATCTTTAAAAAAAAACTGTATTCACTTTCTTAACATACATGAAAGAAAGGACTTTTTAAAGTTGCTGTAAGTTTAGAACCTCAGCATTTTAGAGATGGAGGGGACCTATGAGAATTGGTCCTCTTATTTCCCAAATAAGGAAATCGAGACCTGGAAGGCTAGGTGGTATTTCCAAGACAACATGTCTTGTTACTTGCTGGACTAGTTTAGGGAGCTAAATCTCCTTTCCATGGAGGGTTGCTTCATGGCCTGTCTGCTGTGACTGGAACTAGAGAAAAGTATTTATGTTTCTTTCAAATTGACAATAAAAATACCACCTAATTTGTAGCACTTTAAAGTGCAACTTTGTTTAAGGTCTTATGAAAATGCTTTGTTTTATAGTGACTATGATTTTTTAATTTTTTAAAATTTTAGAGCTTATTCCTTAAAATGAGGGCTTCAGTTCAGATTTTATGATTTCTTGCAAAAGAAGGAGTAGTTAGTTAAATGTCATTTCACTTACATTTTTCTTCATCTGTTCTTCACACTGACTTGTTTGAATGCTATATAAACCTGGATTTTTGTTATGTACATGAACTGAAATATTTTCATTGAGTCATGACTGCCAAGTTTACTATTTAGGCATTTAAAAATGGTATTATGTTAATCTCAAAGAACAGTATATCAAAATTGTTTCTATGACTTTAATGATGAGACAGTGATCCATGTTGTCAAGAACTAGAAGGGACTTTGGAAAGGAAAAACCTTTTAATTTGTTGTAGCATCATGGGGAATTTTTTTTCCTCTTATTTGATTTCTGCCAATGTTGTAGTACAAACATAATCAAAAGCATATTGTGTGAGTTGAACCTCATATAAAGCTGACTGTTATGATTTCTTTCTTTATAGGCATTACCACAGCTGCTGTGTGTGTTTATCCCTCACGCGTGTGTGACGCTATAAAGGCTCTCCGGGCTGCAGGCTGCAATATTCCTGTGGCATCAGGTACAGTTTTTTGTGGCTTTTGCTGTTATTTTATTTTATTTTATTTTTTTAGTTGAAGTCTCACTTCGTCACCTAGGCTGGAGTGCAGTGGCATGTTTATGGCCACCCCATCGTCAACCTGCTGGGCTCCAGCGATCTGTCCGCCCCAGCCTTCCAAGTAGCCAGAACTAGAGGCACGCCCTACCACACCTGGCTAATTTTTTATTTATTATAGAGACAAGGTCTCGCCAAGTTGCCCAGGGTGGTCTTGAATTCGCAGGCTCAGGCAATTCACTCTACTCGGCCTCCCAAAGTGCTGGGATTACAGGCCAAGCCACTGAACCTGGCCTGCTATTACTTTTTAAAACATGTTTCCAATTCGTCATTTGGGCACCATGGGTTGTTATATATAACTTTTTACTATGATTTAAATTAGCTTAATGTACTTATTTAACTGTACTTATTTATGATTTTAGTATTTATTAATTGCATAATAAGTAGCAAATGTTATGTTAATTCCCAAGAATAAAGAACTGTATGTATTCCTATCCTTAAGGAAACTCAGTTGTTTAGGAGAAAATTTTATATATTTTAGGTAAAATTTATAAGGTGCAATGTATTCATATGCATATATATGCATTATACTTACACACACATGTATATATGTTTTGTTCCATATACTGAAATATTTTAAATTAAATACATACGATTAAATAATAAAGATATGCAAAGGTACAGTTGTAATTCTGAGCAAGGAGTGGTGTATTCTGCAGAGGTTGGTGACATTCAGAGTCAGAGAAAGGATGTTAGTGGAGATAATTGCATTGGATCTTAAAGAATGAGGAGGAGTTTACAGTGTCAGTAAGGTAGGAAATGGTGTTTTAGATAGAGGCGTAGGTGTGAAGGCACAGGGAACTGAAAGAGGTTTGCAGTTGTTGGCTCCAGTGGGGAAAAGGGAGAGTTACAGGAGTTGAAGATCAGGGCCCGATGGCAGAGGGGATCCAAGCCATGCTGGGGCATTTGGGCTTTATTTTGAGTCACTGAATGGTTTCAAGCAGAGGCATGGCATGATCGGCTTCATGGTGTAGTAGGTTACCTGCTGGTTGTGGACAAATTAGAAAGGGGTGAAATGGAGTTTAGGGAGACTCATCACAGTCCATGGGGAAGATGATGAGAGCAACACCAAAGTCTAGATGATAAAGGGGGAGAGGGTGCATTTAGGTGTTCTTGACTTAAGATAGACTCTGTAGGACTTGTTATGAGGTAGAGAAACAGCCAAAAATCTTTGGTTTCGTAAATACATGTCTGTGTGTGTATGTGTATGGATGGATAATTAGGTAGATAAATATAAAAATAGATTCCAGTTTTAAGAGATGTTAGAGGAGTATCCTTGTGCTTTAAAAAGAGTCTATAAAGATCATTAATTTATTTTATTAAGGATACATTAAAAGAAACATACAATCTTTATATATAATTGATTCATGAGGATTCTCAAAGTATTTGACAGCTACATCTTTGTAGACCTTAATTTTTCATCAACTTCACTCAGTTCAATTTTTTCCTTTATACAGCAAGGAAACATACTTTCTTCTAAGGTGACAAACCCAAGGAACTTAGTAATATCAAGGAAACACAATAGAATATCTTTAGAAACAAGGATGGAATTAATGATGTGCATGTAAAAACATGTTAATACTTTTCAAAAGTGTAGTTATATTTTCATTTTCCTCCTATTTATACTTGGTTCTGCTCTTCTCAACTCTGCTCCCACCCCAATTTTGTGGAATAATTAGGTGATTTTTCCCTCCTGCATTCTCTTGTCTTTTTTCTCATCTGCCTGGCTGGTTGTTTTAAGATAGACAGTAGGAGGATTACATATTACAATTGGTTATTATAGCTAAAAAGGTTCATGAATAAGTAAATCAAGATAAATCAAGAATAAATCAAGATAGCCATCTTGATCAAGAGTAAGATCCAGAACTAGTATGCTGGATAACTAGTATTCATCAAGACAAGGCTACAGCTACTATTGTATGACTATCATTCTACAGATACCATATTTTCTTAATTGCTGGCTACTTAATGCACCCTCATGAGCATCTCTGCAGCAACTTAATTTCAGGTCTTCCAGAGAATATATTATTTGTCCTAACACCGGTACAATATGAGATGAAAATTTATTTCTTCATACTTACACATAACATACATGATGTTCTTAAGTGTCACTAATGTGTTGGTCTCTAAAGGCTGATTTTTTTGTTTGTTTGTTTGTTTGAAATTCTTTGATGAACTACTGACCAATTGACATTTGTTTTCTATCCCTCCCTTCCCCTTCTCTCCCTTACCCTTTTTCTCTCTCTCTTGTTCTGTCTCTCCCTTTTTCCCTCCCTCTCATCTTCCCTCTCTCCTTCTCTCTTTTCCTCCCTCTCTCCCTCTTTCTTCCTTTCCTTTCTATCCTTCCTTTCTTGTCCTATTATTAGTGGCCACTGGCTTTCCCGCTGGACAGACTCATTTAAAGACACGACTAGAAGAGATCAGATTGGCTGTGGAAGATGGAGCTACGGAAATTGACGTGGTCATTAACAGGAGCTTGGTGCTGACGGGCCAGTGGGAAGGTAGGTGTATGACCTTGCCTGAGAAGTCACAATTCTTCTTTGGTAAATCAAATGGTCAAGATCTTGTAAGATGCAGCATGCTTTCGAGGTTACTATTGTAGGTTACAAGTCAGTAGATCAGAGGTGAATTTAAGAGAAAACATGGCTAAGATTGTTTTGTGCCCTCATAAATCTAAGCTGTTGTCTACTTGCATGAACCTTTTGGGTTTCTTTGGGTGCTTAGGTGAACAGTTATTTCCATGTAATAGATTTATAAACTTTAAGAAAAATTTTATTTTACCAGTGTGCTTTTTCTCTAGAAGGGAAGAGTTACTCCTATTTTGTACTGTTTTGTTACTCTTGCATAAATCACTCCAGTCAAGTCTTTTATGCAAAGTTTATTTTAATGTATTAGAGGAAACTTGGCTTTTTTATGTTTATCTTTGTGGACTTTGAGGATGTAGGATTATTAATAAATCTACTAAATCTGTTTTAACTCCTAGTAATCTTACACAAAGCTCATGGATATAATTTTTTATTCACCTTTGAGATTAATGATTCACCATCATATCAGATTACAGAAGGCATTGCCCATTCCAGTCACAAGCTATTATTTTTATACATAGATAGTAAAAATCAAATGTATTTTACCTATGTCTTAAATATATTTTATATACTAAAGATGAGGTCATTAATAGTGAAAATAAGTATATTTCTCTTTCAAAAAAATTGTTATAAGAAGTAGTTTACCCTCAAAATTTTTAACCAAGTCACAAATTAAAACCAGGATCATATATTATCTTTTATTTTTTTAATTTTTTTTTTTTTTTGAGTTGGAGTCTTACTTTGCCACCCAGGCTGGAGTGCAAGGACATACTCACGGCCTCTGCAGCCTCCACCTGCTGGGTTCAGGCAATCCTTCTGCCACAGCCTTCCAAGCAGCTGGAACTACAGACATGCGCTACAACTCCTAGCTTATTTTTTGATTTATTGTAGAGATGAAGTCTCACCAAGTTGCCCAGGCTGGTCTTGAAACCCTGAGCTCAGGCAGTCCTCTCTCCTTAGCTTCCCAAAGTGCTGGGATTACAGGCTTGAGCAACCACACCTGGCCATATATTATCTTTTTATATATATGTATCAAATAAAAGGCATATTTTATTCTAATTGGGGACACAATACCTACTCATTGTTAATAGCAAAAATTTCCACTAGTCATAAAGGAGTAGAGATGTTTCTCATAATCTCACCCATTTGAAATAACCCCTGATAACATTACAGTGCATACTTTTACAGACTTCTCTTTCTATATACACACATGCTATCCTACCCCCTTTTTAAAGTTTGAATAAGAAATAGGATTTATTTAATATGTTTTTACTTGACCTGACTTGCCCATATCTCATGGATATCTTTCTGTGACTTTTTCTATCCATTTATATTTGTCTGTCAAGTCTTTATCTGTCTATCTGTGTAAGCCTAATTCCATTATCAGTTATGAATTGCTTTTAGTTTTGATGTAGCAAAAGTTCAGCTGATGGTTTAAACATTCAAGTATTCTCTTATATAAACTTAAGAGGTAGAAATCTCAGGGGTGTGTAGTAGCCTCATAAAGTTCTTGGGGACCTGGGTGTTGGGAGCCGGCCACGGAGGCCCACTGAGCATTAGGGATCAGGGAGGGCCGTGGACCCCAAGACCACTAGGATGCATTTGGGAGCTATTGACCCCATTCCCTCTCCTTTTTCTTGCTTAGCACTATAGCCAGAAAAAACTGCTAGCTCAAGCATAAAACTCTGAGATCCAGAGAAACACAGCTAACTTTAGAAACTCATTGTTCCCTTTTTCCTACTGACTGCGGTTTTGGCTTTTGTACAACTTACAGTTTAAATTTGGGTCACATCTAAGAGCCTTAGTACTGGTCACAGGTTTTTAGTATGTTGACTGAGAAATAAAATAATTTTATATAATAGTTATGTAGTTCTTAGACGTTTGTAGTAACCATTTTGAGTGAGATCATAATCATTTGTTCCAAGAAGTGGTCCACTGTGAACTTTGGACTGGGCCACAATCTGGAGAGCCCAGTGTGATCTTTGGACTGGGCCACATTCTTTAGGAACTGGTTTGAGCTATAATTAAGAGTTTCCATAGCAATTGTATAAGTTAGGATTAGTAGAATTAGCATAGAATAGAAAGGTAATAGGATTTAAGTTAGTCATCATAGATATTGTGTACGCATAAGCTTTAGAAGTTATTGATTATTAGAACATCATGATGATAGTAGGGATTGTTGCATTGCTTTTGAGAAACATTAACCAAGCATAGGGAACAGTAAGACAATTTTGGGTTTGTCCTTCCTCATACCTGAGAAAACATCTGATGGGTGGGGGATGCCCCTCACGCACCTGGCTTTGTGTTCAAGTGAAAGACATGTGAGACTAACTGTGCAAAATATGGGGATAAAAGACCCATTGTAATTCCCAATAAATGACTTCTGCACTAAACAGGAGTCCAGTCTCTTTCTTTCTCTCTAGCTTCTTCTCTCTTTCGTAAATCGCCAACGCCATCACACCAGCCAGAGATCATCCCCAACCCTTGCAGGAGCAGGACTCCTACACCTGGGCTACTCTATCTTCTAGTTTCAAAGCATGTGGCTTCTACCATCAAGCTTGAGGGCACCTCATTGTCTGAGATGGCTTCTGACTCTCTGGTCTTTGCATTTATGTTCTAGATGATAGGAAAGAAGGGCTTATCTCATCAAGCCTCACACACTACCTTTGCTTATTACAGTCTCATTGGCTGAACTGAGTTACATGACCATACTTGGCTACAAGTGAAGCTGGAAAATGTAGTTTTTAGCTTGGCGTATTAGCTACATTCCTGTATTGTCCTATTCCCATTGTCTTACTTCCCCTACCTCCATTAATGCTTATTAACATTTATAATTCTTGCCAGGTTTAAATTCTTGACAATTCACAAATATCTTTTAGTACTTTTTTTTTTTTTTTGAGTTGGAGTCTTGCTCTATCACCCAGACTGGAGTGCAGTGGCCGCTCCTGGCCACCGCAGCCTTTACCTCCTGGGCTCCAGTGATCCTTCCACCTCAGCCTTCCAATAACTGGAACTACAGGCATGCGCTACTACACTCGGCTAATTTTTGATTTATTGTAGAGATGAGGTCTCGCCAAGTTGCCCAGGTGGGTCTTGAACCTATGGGCTCAGGCAATTCACTCACCTCGGCCTCCAAGTGCTGGGATTACGGGCTGAGCTACCGAGCCCTGCCTTTTAGTACTTTTAATTTGTGTTCCTTTTCTTATTATTGTCTATGGATTTTATGGCCAATTACAGTCATTCTTAAAAGGCTTATTTTAAATAGTTATACCTGTCCCTAAGTATGAGTTTTGTTTATCTGCTTTTAGTCATGGATTTCAGTTCAGATTTAAGGAGAATAAGAGGAAAAAGTGAGTAAATATAATATTTAAAACATATCTGCAAATAAATTTAATATGATTTAGTTGATAAAAATCTATATGTTCTTTATATCTTTGTTAAAGAATTGTAGATATGGAAATATAGTTTATAACTTGTGCTTTTATTAAGCAGTTGTAGATATAGAAATATAGTTTCTATTATACTACTAATTGGAAAATAAAATATAATAGGAGATGAGTTTTGATATAATTGACTGTCCATCCCTTAATGAATGAGGAGTGGTTGTTTTTAAGAGCTGATAATTTCCCAATAACAAGCATTTTATGCAAAATATAATTACATGTCTTTGTCCTGGACTATACTTTTCTATTAACTCTTTTTTATAGTGTTAATAACCTCTTGACCCAAAACAAATTGAAAAGGAACATTTAATACTAGAAATGTAATTCCAAATAGAAATCTGAATTGACTTGGGATGTTTTTCACTATAGTATTTTGTCTTAATTTCGATTCTCAATTTGATTACATGTTGTGTTTTTCAGTGTCATGTTTTAATATTAGCTATTTACTAAAATATGAGACTAAATTAATTTTCTTAGAGTTTGTTGATGGAGATGTCTATCAGGCTATTGCATTTTTAAATCCAGGGCCCTTTCCCTTGAGAACTGAGGTTTGTAGGACACTTGGTAAAGCACAATAGAAAGAATCCCCCTTTAAACCTGGCCATTCAGAGTATGTCCTAGTCATTTCTTATGGAAATGGGTCCACAGTTTAGGGTATGAACTCGAGAATATTCATATACCTCTCCTTGGTTTCTCTTTGGTGACCATTTAAAACCTCTACTTTCCTGAAACTCTGCCTCCCTCTTGAATGACCTACTTGCTACTTCTCAGAGGAAATAAAGCTGTCAGACAGGAACTTCCTCAAGGTCCTTAAATCAGGTCTACTCTTTGATCCCTCCTTTTCTCCTTCCTTCCAAGTTCAGTCCCTCTACTGTGTCTCACTCTCATCTCATGCATTTTTGGCAGTCTTACTCCAGTTGTCCTTTTTGTTTCCTCTCATATCTTCCCTTTTTGTACTAGCTCACTCCCCTTAAGCATTTAGACATTTAAAAAGGAACCCACATGCCAACATTCTTCTTCATTCCCTGCCAAATCTTCCTTTCTTTTCTCCTCTTCATGACTAAAATTGTTGAGTCGTATGTATTTGTTTGTCTTGACAAGATCAAACTAAGACATTAATGACCTCTTATTTCACTATGCCCAGGCTTACTCCTCGGTTGTTTATTTAACTTTACGGTTCAGCAACATGTAACACAGCAGACTGTTTCTTCCATCTGGATATTCTCTCTTGTCATAGTTTTGGTGACTACATCCTTGAGATTTTCCTTTATGTTTCCAATTACTCTTGCTTCTCATTTGCAAGCTCCTCTACCTCTTCTGTCATTCCTGAACTGTCAGGGGTCCTCAGGTTCTGTCCCAGGTTGACTTCTTGCCAGCCTCTGTACACTTTCCCTTGGTAACTTTATTTCCTTATCAATTTTAGTTACCTTTCTAATGTTGAAGACTACCAAACCTCCTGAGCACTAGAACCTG